TTCTTTTGTTCATTTAAATCTTATCTTTGTTTGTTTTCTGCATGTTCATGTTTTTGATTGTTTAGACAGCATGTTTGGGCTTCTTCTCTTTTCCCTCTTGTGATTGTTAATTGTTTTCGGCCATCCGTTAATTAAAGCATGTTTAATTTGGTTTAAAGTTCAGGCTCGTTAGGTTTTCTGTTGGATTGTTACTTTATTTTGTTGTTATGTCCATAGATGCATATTCATCTGATTGCTAGTTCTTGATTAGTTGTTTAATCAGTAATTGGTTAAGTTTCTATGCCTGAATTACATGATTTAAGTCTAAATAGGGTTTCAATAAACCAGTCTCTCTGGTTCAGTTCCTTCTATTAGTTTTCAGATTAGTTTTTTGTGTTTAATTGGTTAACTTGCTGATCTGTATGCTGGTTTAGTTTAAATTCTAGGTTTTCTTTATGATTGTTGTAGTTAATTAGGAAGAACAATTTTAATAAAGATAGGCTGATTCAAATTCAATTGACAGTAGTTCTTTCTAACTTTCCACTGTTCTATTTATATTTGCTGCATCTTTTGATTTGTTTCAAGTTGTTTGCCCTGATGTGAAAATCAGTAAAAACTTTAGGGGCTCATTTGGACTAGAAAAGTTTAGGTAAAACCTGAAATAAGTGATTACTTAAAGGGTAAAAAAGGGTTTTTACTTGGGCTGAAAGTCAGATATTTTTAGGAAAGTGTACAGCTGTCCTAGCTGTTTAAAAAATATGCTGAAAACGGGACAGCTGTATCAAGGGCTGATAAAAAGGACTGTACTATTATTACTTAGGATAAGGAATATGCTAAAAGATGCCCTCCCTTTAGGCAGCCTATATATAGTGTCTATTTTTTTTCTAAAAAAAAAAAGAGATTGGGAGAGACATGTTGAGAAGCAATTTTTCTGAAAAAGGTTTATTTCTCCTCTGAAAGTTCATACTAAAACAGCTTTGAAAACTCCAAAAATTTTCTCATTCCTTCAAGTTTGAAGCATGGTTTGAAAAGAAAAGGTTTTTCTTGGTCTATTAGCTGGGAGTTTCTGTGGTTCTTGGCTATTGATTTTGAGGTCTGAGGTTCTGATTTTCTGGAGTTTGTTGTGCTGTATTTACTGCTGCTGTCCTGCTGTTCTCTCTCGGATTCTCAGATATTTGCTCTTCTATCTTTCTTTGCTGAATTCTCACTGTTCCAGGTACTGCTTAGATCTCTATGTAGTTTCCTTGTACATGAGCTATGAGAAAATATTAAAATTTGCAAATGGATGTGCAATGAATGTTGTTCTTTGGATACTGTTTGATTAGTCTTTGACTTTGGATAGTATAATGGCAAAATGTATTAACATGAACAATGTGTGTTTATTTATGTCAAGCTTGTTTGGTATTCTGGTGTGCATTAAAATAGCATAAAAATGATATTAAAACTGAATATCAATAGCCCTTATTCATAGCAAAACACTTAGTCAAGAATGTTGTTCATGCTTCTTTAAGTAATATTTTTCTTGTCCTCCATCTGATTTCCTCACTCGAATATCTTCTTTTTTTTTTTTTTTGTTCATGAGCTATAACCTGTTGGTTCATCCACCAGTTGGTTGGATCAATTGGATTAAAAGCTTTAAGGTGGGACTTATATGTTAACAAAAGAAGATGAGGCTGCTATGGACAAAGCTATATTCAAAAAGGGGCAAGGATCTTCTACTAGCATACAAGTCTGTAATAGTTTAGTTCGAGATTTGTTTAGTGAATTAGTATTAGATTAGCTTATCATTTAGCATATTTGTTTCAAGAAAACAGTGGCATGAATTAACAGCAATGCAAAGTTTGTTATTGGTGTAAAGTTTGTCATTCAATACTAAGAGTTGTGTAATAATTGGACTGTCTAAGTGTCTGAATTTGAACTTACGTTTCACAGGCTGGGCTACAATTAATGCGCCTAAGTGTGTGTTCTTGGTAAGTTTAAGGTATAAGTCTATGAATAGCACTCATCGAATTAAAATGTTTCTTGCTAGAATTTTAGAGATTTGAGTGTTTGGTTTGGACTTGGTTAGGGTTTAAGCCAAGGTAGCCTATTGAAAGTCACGTTTGGGCTGCCTTTATTTGAGTTCACTCTTTGCCTTTGGGGTTCAATTTCAGGCCCAAATGGCCTTTGAGCTCCTGTTCTCTCTTTTGGTTTGTTTTGTATTGGGTCATTACAATTAAGACCCATTGTTTATTTGATGAACATATTTCATAGCTGCGACTGGGCCAAGTTTACAGACAGGCCCAAGTTGAGATCCATTCAAGCAAAATAGAGATTTAGGTTGTTGAGCCTGGGCTTTAAGCCCAATAGTTTAATAATTTGTAAAATGCCTCTCCTGAATTATGGTGTAAATGCATGCCTTTGTTATTTTTGCAAATCGTAGTAGTATGATGAGACCTTCGAATTTGAATTGCTTTATTTTCTGAAGTTTCATTTATTTTAAATTAAGTGAACCATGTTCCTTGCTTTTCTTTTCCATGGCTAGTTTGGTTAAAGTTTTAATGCAAAGAGGTGGATAGGCCCAGGCGGTGCCAATGCACAACTGGGCCCGCCTGAAAAATATAAGCCCAACGTGGGCTGATTGTCTACCAGACCCTCAATTGAATCTTAGGCTTTTGATTTCTGGGCCATTCGTGAGCCCAATCAACAAAAGCGTTATTAATTGTGGACACGTTCGCGCGACATGATTTTGACGCGCCAAAAGAAAAGAGTATACGTACGCGTAACTCGATTCTTTAATTACGAATAATTCAAGTAATTAAAAGCGGTAAAAGGTAAATGCACATAGGTCCTAAAAATGAGTAGTTAAACAACTTAAGCCAAGTAATAATCACTAAGCGACCGTGCTAGAACCACAGAACCCGGGAATGCCTAACACCTTCTCCCAGGTTAACAGAATTCCTTATCTAGAATTTCTGGTTCGCATACTCTTTAAAAATAAAACTTCCTCGATTTGGGATTTAAAATAAAGCGGTAACTTGGGACACCATAATTTACTCCAAGTGGCGACTCTGATAAATAAAATAATCCCATTTCGAATAATGTCACTTTAATTGGAAAAACTCCCTTATATGCTCCCTCTCGGGGTGTGTGTAAAAAAAAAGGAGGTGTGACAGTTATATCTTTTTCAAATGTGAAGTGATTATTATTATTGAGGTATCATATTGATTTTTACGTTTAATTACTAAATTCGGTTAACCTTGAAAGTGTACATCAACGAACATTATTGTCAGATGACTAAAAAAATAACTATTATGCGTTACTAAGAAAATTCTCTCATAAGAATATTTTAATAGATAATATGTTTGTCAATTTTTTATATTTTTACTAAACATATATTTACTTATCAAAAATTTAACATAGTAAGATTGAAATAATATTTGAGTCACAAAAAAACCGAAAAATCTGAAAAATTCGACAAAACCGAACCAATCCAAATCGATATAATTGGTTTGGTTTGATTTAATAAAAACCGAACCAACCCGGTCCATGTACACCCCTAGTTTCAGTTCTCTTACCATAGATGTATCCTATGAATAATCCATTAAATGTCAAGCCAAAATCTCCATTAGAAGGTTGATCTTACTAAAGGTAACTAAATTATTTTAATTCCATTTCAACAAATTTTGGCAATCTTACAAGCCTTGAAGTTTTAAATGGAACTTGCAAATAAGGCCTATAGAACTCCTATATAAGAAGTGTAGAAATGATATATATATATATATATCCATTGTAAAGATAAAGTTGCCAAAAGAAAATGGAACTTGACAAAGCAAAATTGGTTGCAATTATCAGCCTTATGTTATTTTTTCCATCATCCTTTTGTACTTCCGTTGACAATGAGATCAAGAGGCTTGTTCCTAGTGGTCCAGATCCGATTAAATCTCCTCCAACTCCATTTTTCAAAACACATCCTTCAAACATAAAGAAATTGTATGAGTTTGATATCAAGAGGCGTGTTCCTAAAGGTCCAGATCCAATTAAATCTCCTCCAACTCCTATTTCCAATCCATACGAAATATCACCTCCAGGTCGAGTTTAAGTAATTGTATTAATTAAGGTCAAAAGAGGGTTGTTTTAAACTATGATGTTTTAGACACAAGAGGAAGATGTTCATTGTTATTCTTCAAAAATAAGCATTCATATAAAATAATATACTAGCTAGTATGAAGAAGGATTTTTCTTTGTTTTATTTTCTTAGTCGACCTCTATTCTGTTATTTTATTATTCGCATGTACAATCTTCATTACCCCTCACTCACTCACACGCATAGATAGTGGCGGGGCCACTTGTTGTCAACCGATCGATATCCTTTTATCGGAAAATTACACTGTTTAGTTCGGTAGTTCTTTTTAAAATATGTATATATATACTATAATGGCAAAAATTTGGGTAAATTTCGAGAGAAAAATAGACTTGATATACGCATGAATATTTTGAAAAATGATAAAGGAATAAACTGAAAGAGATGAAAGGATGCTTCCAGACTTATGTTGAATATGTTGGAATAAAATGCATCTGATATGAGTGAGCATGTGACACGTCAAAGTATTCTTATGATTCCCAGTAGTCATATTTACCATATTGCCCATGCATGGCAGATTAAAATAACTAACTTTGCCCTTGGTCGACCATTCTTCTCTTTTCTATATAATAGATATAGATATAATGGCACCCCTTGACTTCTTGGTGAGTTTATTTCTTAATATTTTGACTTCTTTTAATGAAAATCCTGGCTCCGCCACTGCGCATGGAGAAAAGGGCAGTCCTGCACAAGACATCCCACATACACGCATGGTCCGGGCCGGGTAAGGGATCCACCCAAGGAATATAATGTAGATAGACTATTCTAATATAAACATTAATGGCTTCTTCCATGACTCGAGACTTTTTCTATTATAATGATGCCTCGGTCTAATTGGAATCCAAGAAAAATTAATCAGGATCTTTATCTCTACATAATGGAATGAAAATTTGAAAATGAAAAAATATTATATTAAAAATATTCATTAATACATGTAACAAGTCAATCACACTACAAAACAATTTATTAGCGGTTCTCATAACCATATTGTTGGAAGATATATGTTATATAACTAGAAAGCAAGAATGCAGTTATATCAAGCCAAGTTTCTAACAATTTGATATGGTTCACATTCTTGTAATAAATTCACAACATCAAGCAATCAACTTGAACATATAAAGATTATGTAATTTGATCTCCTATGGTGAGCACTTGTTTAGGTCTTCAATCTCAGCTTCTTCGAATTTTAGAACATATTCATGATTGTCACCTCTTTTTATAATCTCTACTGGCCATGTATAGAAATCCAATTTGCTAGAAGAAAACACTTTGGTTGAAGTTGTCAAAAAATATGGTTCCTGAAAAGAGAAGGAAATGACGAAACTTAAGTTTGAATTAGTGAAACTTACCGTGCATTTCTGCAAGAGGCTGTTTCCACGGCTGGAAACTTACCCTTCCAGCTATGCGCGGGTCCGGGGAAGGGCCGGACCACAAGGGTCTATCGTACGTAGCCTTACCTTGCATTTCTGCAAGAGGCTGTTTCCACGGCTCGAACACGTGACCTCCCGGTCACATGTAATGCCCCTCAAAATACGCAGATAGTGAAGTTTGCTTAAGTAACTAAAATAACAGAATGTACCTTGAAATCAATCAGCAAAAGCCATTTTCCATTGAATGTCCAAGCCTGTTGAAACTAATTGTGGAGTCTAACCATCCTTCAACTTTTGCTCTTTCAACATAATCTTTAAATTGTTTTTCAGCATCTGGTACATCTAGAGCCAAATCATCAAGAGATTCTGCAACTCTAGCAAATCCCTTTGTCATCTGATACATAGTTATTAGTCCCATACTAAAACATTCCTTAAGAAAACCCCATAATCTCTCATTTTTCTTCTCAATAATAATCACTAATGATTTTTTAACAACTTCATGATGAAAAAATGGCATCCCTAATTCCTTTATGCATCGATACGCTTCCTTTGCATCTCCTCCAGATTCAAACTCTTCTAATAATTTTCTTATTTTATCCTTAACATCTTCTATCGCCCATCCATTTGAACTACTTCCACCACCACCCCAACACCTTAATATTCTCTCGCCCGATAATCTACCTTTTAATAAAGATTTTGCCATTAGTACCACTTTGTTCCCTATAGAATTCGGCTCGAAAAATTGACTCCCAATTTCTTCCATGTGTTGTGGAGTTAAAACTTCATCTACTTCTGCCCTAGCCAAGAACATGGCTAAATCCTCAACAACAATCGGAATGTCCAAAGCTGTATCTTCTGCTGAATCTATTAACATTACAAAGCCATTTACTACATCATCTGCTGGAAAACAAACAGATGATAATAAAACAGATGCCATTTCTTTCTCTCTGTTTTTCCTGTCCATAGCCAAAGTGATTAACTTCTTAACAAATATGGCATTTAGCTCGGCCAAACACGAACTGTTCTCCGTTTCTAGAAACCTGCTAACTTCAACAATTTCACCTGATAAAAAATACTCTTTGATCATGGATTGAGCTTTTAGTTTAAATTCTTTCACAAGTTTTTCATCAACTGTTTGCTTTTCAATTTCTTTTGATAATGACTTTAATGATGAAATACATAACCAACCCTCAGATGCTGCCTTAGAAATTATACACTGCAATATCACCCTTGCATTTGGTATGTCAAGTGACAAGTCATCAATATTGTCAATAATCCTATTAATTCCCTTTGATAATTGACTTGAATTTATCAAACCTTCTTCTGTAGCTTTCTTTAGTAATTCCAAAAGGCGATTTTCGGCTTGTTGCTTTTCCATTGCCATAATAATAGCCCTCTTAACAATTTCATGGTGAAAAAATCTCATATTCAAATCCTTAATACATCTAAAAGCCTCTTTTTTCTCCCCACTTACCACATACTCAATCAATAAATTGTTGATCTTGTCCTTAACATCTTCAACTGTTTTATTCTTACTTCCACCCCATCGACGTTCGATAATCTCAGCATGTAAAGGAGCTGATAAGTAACTTTTCTCAGCTCTTTTTATAACCTCAATTCCCTTTGAATCTTTAGGTAGAGAAGAATTTGCTTTTGCTAAAAATGCAGGAGGAAGAATATCATCAACTACTGCTCTTGCAATGAACAATGCAAGAATATCGATTGCATCAGGTATGTCTACGATGAAATCATCTGCAGATTCCAAGAGTTTACTAAAACCTTTGTAAACTTGTTGTGGTTTAATAACTTCAGCATAAAGAGCAGATAATAACACAGCTGCCATTTCTTTTTCCTTATCATGCCTATCCATTGCCATGGATACTAGTTTTTTAACAAAGTAGAAGTCATAACAAGACATTCCAAGTTCTCTTAATTCATTGGCTGTGGATGTTATATCATCATTCTGAAAATATTCTTCCACTAATATAATTGCCTTCTTTTTGTAGTCCTCAAATGTTGCAATCATATCTTTAGTACTTGTTCTCTCTGTATCCTGTAAACAAGTTAACAAAAAGTTTAAGTTAGTTAATGACGTGTTACGATAATAACGAACCTAGTGTAATCTCACGAGCGGCGTCTGGGGAGGGTAGAGTGTACGCAGACCTTACCCTACCTTAAGAAGGTAGAGAGGCTGTTTCTGGTACACCCGACCCTCGCCTCAGGAAAGATAGAGAGGGGGGAGTAACAACAGTTAATGATGTGTTACGACAATAACAAACTCAGTGTAATCTCACAAGTGGCGTCTGGGAAGGGTAGAGTGGACGCAAACCTTACCCCTACCTTAAGAAGGTAGAGAGGCTGTTTCTGATAGACCCGACCCTTGCCTCAGGAAAGATAGAGAGGGGGGAGTAACAACATTTAGTTAAGGATGTGTTATTTATGAAAATTTCTAATATCATGAGAAAAATCCTATAGTGAACAGAGTTTGCTCTGAGGCATAGGAAACTTATCTTCAAATATGATAGCAAAAATTACATACCTCACTACTAGTGTAGTTTGGATCATTGGGGTCAATAGTATGGACATCATCGGTATCCATTAATCCACCCCAAGTGCCTTTTCCTCCGCAACCTCCTGTATAATCATGAATAAATATTATGAGAAGAGTCGATTCATAATAGATTAATAACAATTGCTACTACTAATACGACTCAATCTCAAGCTAGTTGAGATCGGCCGTATGAATCCTCAATATCATAAATACTTTGTTTGGGTCTATAATATTTCAATACTCCATATTTACGTAGCATCTAACACTAGAGATTCTTTAATATGCAAAATTAAAATCTCCACTAAATGCAGTTTCAACTGAATCATCTATTTATGCATGTTAGTATTACTAATCCATTAACGGGTTGAAATTACAAGGTTTTAAACAAAACGATCATGAGCATTATAATTCGGTTCGTACCATAGTTTAAATGCCACGGTCTGAATAATTCTGTCATGAAAAAAGTTATCCTGTTTCATACATGTTATAACCAAGGGCGGATTTAGGGGGCGGAAGGGAGTTCACCCGTCGAAAAATTACATGGTATATACAAGACAAAATTTATTTTTTACCTCTATATATTACGTTTTGAATCCCCTTGATACAGCCCAAAAGCATAGCTTAGTGGCTAAGGGGGTTCAAAACCTTTTGCAGGTTATTGGTTCTATTCCCACTAGCTACAACCTTTCTTTAATTCTGCCTCCGCCACCGGATATAACGTGTGCAATACAAAATATTAATTTACCTTTCTTTGGACGACCATCTCGGGGAGAATGAGAGTTTCTTCTATTTTTGAGTGGACTTCCCCTATCTGCGCCATGCTTGCTCTGACGATCAGCGGGAGACCTTGGGGACTTTGGGGACTTAGGCGATTTTGGAGAGCGCGGTGATTTTGGAGATATCTGTAATGGAGATACTGATAATGGATCTGCACTTTCTGAAGCAGATCGCAGTTGTTCTTTATGCTCATTTGATAATTTCACATCAGTAAATTCCATATTGTGAAGTACTAATAATACTGGAAGAAGTAGGATATAGGAAATAATTGCATATGTTATTAGTTTCTCTCTTCCTTAAATCAACTACTTCCAACTCCAAGCTGCTGTCGTAAGATTTGCAATGTAGCAAACTAATTGACCTTCATCTGGAACCTCTTAACTAATTTAGTGTTACAAAGACCCTATAATTAAGCAATAGCCAAATTAAAGCAGTCTCAAATTCTTGAAGTGATACGCTACTATACATAGAGAGTACTGTTTCGTTTAAGTTTTAATCTAAAACTTTTGGTTTACAATTATTGTAGCGGGTGATTGTGATTAGTTAGATAACAACGGAGATCTGTAAAAGAATTAATTGATTAGGAAGAGACAGAGAGTACTTAGGCTGCGCCTTTTGAAGCGGGAAGTTTGGACAAGTTGATGGTCAAATAACTGTCATTCTAACTGAAAGCTTTGACACACGTGTGTACATGTAAGACTTTTTCCTTTTTTTTTTTTTTCTTTTTGTTTCCTTACAAAGAAAAGTTGGACAAGAGAAAGCACATCTTAAAAAAAACATCTAAGGGCACAATCAAAGAAAGGTAGGAAGTGATTTAGCTTTATTTTAATGCGTTCTTTATAGTACTAAATAAGAATGGGGTGATATTCAAAAGTAGCCAGATTTATCCGTGGTAATTGAAAAATAGTCATAGTTTCAAAATTAATCGAAATTTAGCCACTTTTCATGAAAAGATAAATTTGAACGACGGAAAATATATACTGGACCTCCAGCATGAAAGTTCATATACAGGTGCTCCAATCTCCAGTATATTATGCTGGAACTTTCCGTAAGAATAGTATGCTAGAAGTTCATATACAGATCCAATATTTTGCTGGAACTTTTTGTATTGCAGCAAAATAATGATTATTTTTTAATGACTTTGTAAATACTGGCTATTTTTCGATAATCAGTCCGAAAACTGGTTAGCCCGTGCTATTTTCACATAAGAATTGGTTAGTGTTTGATTCTGGTTACTTTGTATTATTACTGGTACATGTACTTCACCCTAGTATATACTCCTATCTGTTCATGTCGACTTTGCAATAGTAAATTAAATAAAATCGTGATTTATTTTATTCCAATAGTAATTCATGTAGTAATGTTTTGATTTATTTAGGATTGAAACATAATTGTGGTATTAATAAACTACCTTATTGGTTGGACCCTTCAAAATAAGTTTCTGAAAATTGCTATGTAAACTTATTCCAAAGATATAAACAAGTTATAAAATTTATTCGTGTTATATATAACTTAAATTGTTAAACCCTAACTTTGATCTTTGGTCTTCATTAGAATCCGTTCCTTCTATTAAAAGCCAGAGCTAAATAAAGATTAACTAACATAGAAATTGATAGTAGTACTATATAAAATAACTCGTCGGAGCTCCGTATCTGAAGTCTGGAGCTCCACAAAATATCCGGTGCCGGAGATGGACCTCGTAGCATCCCTACAGTCGGAACTCGAGTCTCTTCGAAGCAGGATTAAGGTCACCTTTTGTTGCTAATTGCAAAATAAATTATTTCAAATAACTCTTAATGTTCCACAATCACTATGTACCGTGTTAAAAATCTTCAATTGGAAGCGCAGGAATTGGAATCGGAAAATGTTAAATTATCTGCTTGGCTCTCGCATTGCAGTTGTCAAGAGGTTTATTGCTTCTTCTACCTAATAATCCAAACGCATTTATAAAATTTTAATGTGAATTTTGATGTGCTGTTATTTCTATGTAGACAAAGGAGAAAAGTAACGGTAGCCTTGTGAAGAACGGAGTTTTGGATGGTCATGGAAAGAAGAAAAATAAGCTCAGAGATTTAGGTTTGGATATATGAAAGTTTAGTGATTGGAATGTGTTGCTGTAGTTTTACGTGCAATGTGAAAGGTTTTGCGATGGTAATTTAAGTGTTGAAATTAGTTAAGATAGTTAATTCGTTTTGCTACGTTTTTTTTTAATACTGAATGAGCTTTTTTTTTTTTAAACAAATAGAGTTTACTGTGTTAGCTATCTTTACAAGTTTGATACTGTAATTCGAATTGAGAATATGCTGAAATGTCCCTTTCCATTTTATTTGATAATTGATACTGTAATATAGTAATGAATGCTGAAATATTCCTTTTTTTGTTTGTTTATAGGCTGTGGCACAATGGTGATGCATCAGTTCCCAAAAAGATATGTCGCTTTGAAAGTCATGTATTTTGGTCCAAGGTATCAGTATGCTACTAATAGTTTAGTAGGATTGTGTTGTCTGTGTGGCAATTGAAAAAAGAGGAAGAAAGTTCTTAGTTGAGAACATGCAAAAGGCTTTCATTTTCTATTTGCCTCGGATTAGCTCTTCATCAGTAGCAGTTAACTGTGAAATACAAGTAGAGCAAAGAAGTTTCACCAGAAAGGCTAAAAGTGGGTTTGAATATTTTGGACAAGATAAATTTGAGCTGTTCCTTGTCTTTAAATTTCATTTAACCTGTAAGACCATCTAGTTAGTCTTAAGCACAAAGGATAGTAAATCTCAAAAGGGACCAAAAGAAGAAAATAAGAGGTAATGAAGAGATTATACAAATTTCAATGTATTACTAAATGTTAAGTTCTGAAAATCTGAAGTGCATTGCTGTCTTCTTCAGAAGATGGATGTAAATTGTAATATAGATACATAAAATTAGGTGTATTAATGAAGTGGAAACATTGGAAACAGTTGAAGAAAAGCTAAATGCATGTGAAAGAAGAGTACCGGAAAAAAGGGGCAAGGATCCTTGATTTCTTATTAAGCCTATTTTGCATTGACCTCTAGAAGACTTCTCGCACCGGAGAGTTTACTTCAGTCTTAACAAAGCCTCAAACAAGCCAATATTTCATAGCACAACACTCTTTAGGAAGCATCTAATCTGTTTATTTAGTAGGGTTTCACAACTGAATAGTTTAAATTTAAACACCAAAAATAGTACTTATTGTAATTTTGGGGTTTATTCAAAGGCTTCTTCCGCCTTAGTTCCCAGCAATAAGGATATCACAATAGATATCTCATCCATTAACCAAACATCATCTTGTTTGATTATATTTTGTAATTTGACATATCACTTTAGCCAAAGGTGAGCCACGTATTAGAAGACATCTGTAATTTTTAGGCATATAATTTTATGAAGGAGTTTCAATCTTCTTTACTAAAATAATGCCAAGATGAGATAAAAGTGTTTCGGAAGAAAAAGAAAGAATTGTGTTGTTCTAATTTGTCAGGAAAGATATTGAACGAGGTAGATTAATTCATGGAATACACTTCCAATGTTTTATCTAGTATTACCTCAGTTTTGTGATAGTAATTTTTTCTACATATTTCATCTAGAAACAAAGATAAAGGCCATCTATGTCCCCTGGAAAAGGGGTTATATATAAAACCACTTCAGGTGTTGATTGCTAAAACTGCCTCCTGGTCCTAACTCTAAAGTGTCCCTGTTAATAACTTTGCATAGATGGTCTAGTGGTCACATGAAGTATGAGCATGGAGCTCTTTATTTCATTCTGGAATCTAATGGCTGCAGGTGGATCTGTCACTTTTTTAACCCTATGCAGTTTAAGTATAATTGAAGTATTAACTAACATGTTACATTTTGTTTCTACCATTCTCTGTTAGTAGGATTTTGGATTTTTTTCACTTTGCCCAAATTTTAGCAAGTATTTGTGTCTTGTTTAATACTGTAACCGTGTTCTCATGCTGCATTACAGGTTTTATGGTTTTGCTTCGGAGGCTCAAATGGATCCTACTGTTGAGGTACTATGTTCTCTTATGAGATGATGTTCTTTTAAGAATCAGGCCAGCATTTAATGCAATGGACATAAATTACCCATGAACATGTAACTATGCGTTCTAAATGTTCTTTATCTTACTCTTCTCTTGTTTTAATCATAGTTCCATGTTTGCCATCCGTTAGATTGAGAGAAGCTAAGGAAAGAGTATAATCTGGTGCTTTTCTGTGAGCACACTTTTTTTCCTTGCATATATTGCACAATGAACTGTTCATTCTTAGCACAAGCTGTTTTTGAGGCCTCCGCTGGTAGCACTTGGCTGACTTTATTGTCTGCACTTTAGCATCTCAGTAGAGTATTTTTCTTTGAATATTCTGATGGGTTTCTTCATGCAGGGTGAACTTTTCAAAGCTCTAGAGAGGACAAGACTGATATTTGGAGACAAGAGGGAATTGCAGTACTCAAGATGTGGTAGAACGGACAAGGGGGTTTCCTCTGTTGGTCAGGTGAGTTGAATAGAGCAATTTGTTGAATGTTCGATTTACTAATAGTTTAGATATAATGTGCATTTGATGCGAAAGTGTTTTTCTTTAACAATTTCAAAGAAGAGTTCCCTGCAAGCAGATAAAAAGTTCATATGCAATTCATTCAAGTTTAATATTGTGTTCACACTATTCTCCGTTTTCATTGTGCCGGGCTTTATTTACTGGTTATTGTTATTGCTTTTCATCTATTTCCTGGTTCTTATGATGCCGTCATTATTTCTTGATTTTCTGGTGATGGTACTGATATAGTGTTTCTTTTCGCCGTCTTGAGCCGAGGGTCTTTCGGAAACAACCTCTCTACCCCCTCGGGTAGGGGTAAGGTCTGCGTACAGACTACCCTCCTCAGACCCCACTTATGGGATTCTATTGGGTTGTTGTTGTTGTTGCTGCAATTCATTCAAGTAAATATCTATAACCAGACACATATCATTCACTAATTCTGTTTTTTGGTGGTTTATAAACTCTTTGTTGTTATTGCACTTTTGATTCCTAGTGGCAGCTGCTTTCCATCAATTTTCATTGAACCATTTTTTCCCTTTCCAGTTCATTTCCTTGCTTGCAAATCCTTTTCTTTTTATGTGCCTTTGAGAAAGTTTTATGGAACATTATATCTCTTTATATGTCTTTTAAAACATGAGAAATACTTATTGCAGGTGATTTCGCTCTTCTTAAGGTCAAGACATAGGGAGTCAAGAGGAGACAATAAGTATTCTGGGGAAATTTCTGTTGAAGAATCTTGTGGTCTGCTGATATCTCCTTACCATGTACTACTATGTTTAGCCTTTCTGATTAGTGATCTGACATGTCCTTACTGTAATGAGATTTGGCACACATCAATTCTACTCCCTTCCTGCAACATTGCCCACTCTTTTCTTTTTATGCAAGTTCTGCTAGTGTAGTTTTATGGCTGTTACCTGTTAACTGGCCATT